GTGGTGTGCGCTGGGCTCGCGGAGCGTTCGCGTCGTGCAGGCCCGAGCATGGGCCTCCTGAGCGGGGCGGCTCGCGCCCTGGTGCGGGGCGCCGACCGAATGAGCAGGTGGACCAGCAAGCGGGGCCCGCGCACCTTCCTCAAGGGCCGCGGCGCCAAGGGCACCGGTTTCCACGCCCGCGACAGGAATTTCGTGCAGGTCAAGGAGATGGTCCCGGAGCTGGTGGTGCCCGAACTGGCCGGGTTCAGGCTCAAGCCCTACGTGAACTACCGCGCGCCGGAGGGCACAGACGCCCCCCTGACGGCCAAGCAGCTCTTCCTGGAAGCGGTGGCGCCTGCTATTGAGAAGGACTTTAAGGCCGGCACTTTCGACCCCGAGCACCTGGAAAAGTACGGCTTTGAGCCCACCCAGGAAGGCAAGCTCTTCCAGCTGTATCCCAAGAACTTCCCGCGCTAGGAGCCCGCGAGCGGAGGACTTGGGCCCACCCTCCTTGCCCGTCCCAGGTCGGGTGGCGGGTGGGAAGGCGTTTCCCTCGCTGCGTTTCTATTAAAGGCCTTCGCTACCGTACAGGATTTGTTTCGGGCATCTGTCATTCATTGTGAAAATAAAGCGTGCAACGTAGCAGGTTAGCGACCTAGGCTAAGTTCTCAGAGGTTCCATTACCTGTGAAACTGCAAAGAGCCGTTTTCTCAACCACAAGTTTCTGAGAAGGAAGCGGGAACACATCGCTTAGACTGCGGAAGAGAATTACGAGGCAACCGAACCACGTGACTGCACTGGTTAATTCATCCCCCCGATTCTTCAGCCTGAGGACTGATGAAAATATTTATGGAATCCAAGGCAACTATTTGGGGGGGGGGTTCAGGTGAAACTGCCCTCCTTGGGACAAACCTAGAGAGGCCACACAAGCTGGTGTCAAAACTAGGATTTCCCTAGTGATCGCTAGTCTCCACCTTGTGTTCACCTGTTTCAGTGCATATAATCCTGTAATCTTTTAAATTCTGTTTGATATTTAGTTGATCTCTAAGTTAAATATCCGAAAACAAACGCTAGAGGAGGGTTCAACATTAATATATTCTGACCTGTACTGGCATGAGTGCTGTATCATCAGAAAATAAAGCAAAAGATAGAAGTTTTGTGTTTCCTGACTCTGAACACCTATGTATCCTTAGTGGATGTTGACAAACCCCACTGTGGATTGTACTTCAACATCCATTCCTTCCAGAGAGACAAGAAGGAACCTGTCCATGGAAGTTAGATCAGTCACAAACCCAGTTATGTTCTTGGAGTTAACAGTGTCCAGGCTGGGAAGCTACTTGGTTCACTGAAGCCACGATGAGTGAGTGTGACTGAACAAGTTTCAAGTTTATGACTCGCCAGGGCAGCTCAGAATGTGCACACAGCTTTTGCTTATCTGCACGGGAGGTTTTACAAGCACTTCTGGTGCCATGATGTGATCTTTTACAATGTTTATATAAAACTACTTGGGTTATAAAGTAGCTTTGAAAAAAACGCACTTCATTTCGTTATATAAATAGTTGCTTAAGTAAGTATGAAGAGCTGGAAGTCAAACACAAGAAGCAGAGATGATTCTGACTTCCCGGTGGCGGTGGCGGTGGTGGTGGCGGTGGTAGCAGCAGCAGCGGCAGCGGAGCTTTCAGGCCCCAGGGTCCACAGGAGGGGACTGGATGGACTGGTCATGATGTGTAGGGAGAAGGTAGCAGTGGCAGCAGCCAACAGGGCCGCGTGAACCACAGCTCCAGGGTGCAGCTGGGCCTGCTGTCCTCCATCCACCAGGCTGGTAAGAAGAGCCGTCTGGGGTCTCTGGCCTTGCACTTACCCACTCTCACCTCTCCCCTCTCCTCCTCCCCAGCAGCTGGTGGTAGCAGCCAGGCACTGGGCGCCCATCCTAACTGCCCGCCAGCTGGGCTCCCCAGCAGAGGCTGGGCAGATCCTTTCAGGGGATGGTTTTCTGGCCTGGTTAAAGGAAGGAGGAAATTCACACACCAACAGTTTTTGAATAAAAGAACTGCTCTGGGTTTAAAAACAAAAACACAAGTAACTGACAAGTTTATGACTGGGAACCATGCCCCTCCCACTCCCTGGGCCCCGCAGCACAACAGCCCAGGGCAAAGACCACTTGCTGCCACAGAATCACCATTTTATTTAAGACAGGCCACCAGCTTTTGTGACTGTGCTGTTGGGTAAGATGCACTGAGCCCCATGCAGTCACCCGCAGGCAGGGAGAATCTCAGTGAGATGGTCTGAGGACACTTCATTCCCAGAAAAGATAAAGTCGCACTCTTGGTTTTATTTGTGGAAATGGTCCTTATGACTTCAAACCAAGCAACCTCTTTCCTAGCTCAGCTGCTGTCCCACTTCCAGAGGTGGAGAACATGATCATAAAAGGAGCAAGTGGCTAGAAGGTTGATGTCAAAGTTTGCTGCCTCCAAGTACAGGTCACAGTCACAGATCTGGAGCCTTGAGGCATGCAGCTGGCTGCCACAAGGAGCCTTCAGCCTGCCTCCACCCTGGATCTTGGTACCACCCTCTCCATCGTCCACTAAAGGATTAGAAGAGGATGCTGGTGACTGGCCCTTAACCTTCAGGTTATAGGCCACGTCTGCAGTTTTGGCTCCTGGGTCACTGCAGGGAAAGGACCCTAGGGGGAATAACGGCTGGGCCTGCGGCAGACGGTGGAAGTAGAGCCAGGACCAGTCGACTCCGTACACCAGTGCGTTGGGCAGGATGTGGGACAGGGCGACTGTGCAGGCTTCCTGCTTCTCCTCTGGAGCAAACCGGGCGGACACGGGAAACAGAACATTACCCAGAGTGGACCTCGTCACCCCGACCGACAGCCCCGCCCACCCTCCAAGCGAGACTCTGCCAAGAGCAGCCCCTGTGCAGCCTGCGGAGGAGCGTGGGGATGCGCACAGAGGACAAAAGTTCTCATCTTGCAGGGAGCGTGCTGTGCCCATGAGGGGAGCTAGCCCAGCAACAGAACACGCATGCAGGGCGCCTTCCCAGTCAGAGGACCTGCGAAAGCTTCCCATTAAGACTTAAAGCCAGGGACAAAGGACTCAGCACGGTGGGGGAAGAGCCATGCAGGTGGCCATGGCTGAGGTGTCAGGGACTGGGGCTCGTCTGGAGGCCACGTCACATACAGTCCAGTGTGCTCTGTAAAAGAGTCTGGATTTAGCTTTCGCTTGGAAAGGAGTCACGGAGGAGCTGAAGCAAGAGCAATTTCCGAGGTGCCGTGGCAACTGTGAAGCTGGACAGAACAGAGCTGAGGGAGGGCTGAAAGCGACCCACGAGCAGAAGAAAGGAATGATGAGCTGTCGCCAGGCCTGAGGTGGTCAAGGGTCTGGGGTGAGGACCAGGCTGGCATGAGCAGCCATGGAAAATGGGTGGCCAGTGAGCCAGGGATGTGGACTTAGGAAACTGTCAGCAGCGGGATGCCCCAACAGCCCACCATTCAGCCTTCAAAGGGTCAGCCTGGAGGCCGCAACACCCTGAAGGTGGCCACTGCTGCCTCCCAAGTGCCGGGATCCATGCCAAGTGATCTGAATCGCAATCGATGAGAATGAGCACTGATGAGGAAAGGCTGGAGCTGGACTCGGCAAACATGAGACCCTCCTCCCTCACCCAGGGCTTTCCCCAGGCAGAGGGCTCTGGCAGGGAGCCGGGCGCTGAGGCTCCCAGAGGGCAGAGAGACACACTGGCCACATGCATGGAAGGAAGGCCCAGGAGATGCCCCGCTCGGGTGGGGACGCCTGGCCCTGGTAACTAGTGGACGACAGGTCTTCCTGCTGCACAGAGACATGACACCTGTGACACAGCACGGCTGCCCCTCGGGGGCACGCAGAGCCCAAACAGAACAACACGTTACGTTAGGCAGCAAGGGGTGGAAAGTTCCAAAGAGTAGGAATGATGCAGGCCACATTCCGACCTAATGCAGTGAAACAAAATGAATGACACGGTCAAAACAAAAGACTGCTTCCACCTAGAAGTCTAAAAACCTTCTACTAAAGCCACTCATGGATAAAAGGGAAATACGAACTCAAATCACAGAACTTCTTTATAAAAAGTGCAAGTGAAATGACTACAGTCAGAACCTACAAGTATGCTTACATCACAGAAAAGTTCAAACATAAAAACACGTAACATAAACAGATTAATAAAGATGAGTGAACTGTACTCCCAACTCAGAATGCTAGAACGAGAACTAAGGAGGCACAGGGAGAGGAGCAATACAGACAAAAAGAGACACTGATGAGAACAGAGAACAGAACACACCATACAACCAAAATCAAAATCCTTTCAAAGAAATAATATACACACTACTAACTAACCTGATTAAGGAAAAAGAAATACTTATTTCAATGTTTGCATAAATATATAAAGTAAAATATGACAAAGGGCAAAATAGCCAGTAGAGAGAAATTTTTTTTTAAATTAACCTGAGTGTGGGAGGGAAAAGGCTTTTTAAAACGCAAAATCTAGATTCAATTTTAAAAATCTATAAATTGTATTACATTTAAGAAAACCTTCTGCATGGGGGAAAACACCACCAAAGGCAGATCAAGGCAACAAACAGAGGAAACATTTCCAGCCTAAACCAGAGGTCAAGGGTCAAGACCACTGCACAGAACTCCAAGCCAAGAGAGAAAAGGACCAGAAGCCAGAGGGGAAACAGGCAAAGGACAGACAGAGGCACTTCACAGAGACAAATATAACACCAGCCCTCAGCAAGTGAGCGTATGTTCAACCTCACTCCTAGTTAGAGACATGCAGGTTTAAGTTCCTGTGAGACGCCACTTCACACCTATCGGACGCAGAAATCCCAAGCCTGATGGTGCTGTTGGCGAGGCTGAGGGGAGGCAGGCCTCCCCACGTGTGGCTGGTGAGGAAACAGTGAGATCCGTGCTCACCTGTGACCCTGTAAGCCCCTCATTTAGGCAGCAGCCCTGAGGATACCTTCAGTGAGGCAGAAGCACGCGCACAACAGAATACACGTGAAGCACTATTTACAGTGGCAAACTACTGGAAGAGCCGGAACATGCACATAGAAAGTTGGAAGAGAGATCTGTAGTATACGCACCAAATGGTGTGCTATGTAACCTTTAAAAAGAGCGAGGCCAACAGGCACGTGGAAAGATGCTCAATGTCGCTAATCATCAGAGAAATGCAAGTCAGAGCCACAGTGAAGTATCACCTCACACCAGCCAGAATGGCCATCTTTAAAAAGTGCACAAACGATAAATGCTGGAGAGGCCGTGGAGGAAAGGGAATTACCTCCTGCACTGCTGGTGGGAATGCAGTTTGGTGCAGCCACTGTGGAAAACAGTATGGAGATTCCTCAAAAGACTAGGGATAGACTTACCATAGGACCCAGGAATCCCACTCCTGGGCATATATCCAGAAGGAACCCTATTTCAGGATGACACTTGCACCCCAATGTTCATAGCAGCACTATTTACAATAGCCAAGACATGGAAACAGCCTAAATTTCCATCAACAGATAACTGGATAAAGAAGAGGTGGTATATTTATACAATGGAATACTATTCA